GGGGGGGGCAGGCTTGCAGATGTTTTCCCAATTTCTAATCTTTGCCTAACAAAAGGAAGGGTCCTTTTGGGGTGGAGCACTGGGGTAGGGTGCTTGCCAAAGAGAGTCAAGACCTTCCGTTGGTTCCTGTTGGGGGAGGGGGGTGTCAAGAAAAACAAAAATCCATTGGCTTTATGAAGCCACGAGGCTGAGGTATGAAAGTGTGCAGGCGCTCAACCACCCATCAGGGCCTCCCTGTGTGACCTTTCATGCCACAGCTTCTAAGTCTTACAACAAGATCACTGTGAGACACAAGAGATAATACACACCAAGCACAGAGCCAAATAGTAGCACGCACTTAACAAACACTTACTACAGCAGGGCTATACTAAACAAAACTTTTTATTTTTGTTTTTGTTTTGTTTTTTTCCAAGACAGGGAGGCTGGCCTCAAACTGACAGAGATCCGCCTGCCTCTGCTGGGGTTAAAGGTATATGCCACCACAGCCAGCCAGGCCAACAAGACTATTTATTCTTCAGCACAACAGAAGTAATGGTGTGGGCCTGTTATTCTGTTGTTATGATTGCTCTCACATGACCCAGTTTTCACTGCACAGTAGGGCAAGGCCCTCACTCCAAAGGCACTTCTCAGAGGGGTCTGAGACTGAGCTGAAAGGGTTTTAAACACTTTAGAGTTCTTTTGCTTGGCTGTTTGCCAGAAAGGGGAAGGACTTTTCCAATGACAGACACCTCATAAGATAGGTCATGTTTGACCTCAAGCACTGAGCTAGCACAATGCTCTGCCACTGAACTAAACCCAGCCCTTTTAAGTTTTATTTTAAATAAACATATTTGTTTTTAGGTAAGATCACTCATTGGTTAAGAGGCAAGGCTACTCTTCCACAAGTCCCGGGTTTGGTTCCCAGTGCCCACATAATGGCTTATAACTATCTGAAACTTCAATTCCAGGGGATCCGACACCCTCTACTGATCTCCTTGGGCACCAGACAGGCATGTGGTACACATATATGCAGGCAGGAAAAACACTTTTACACATAAAATAAAATGCATAAACGTTTTATGTATAATCATGAGTTTGTCTATGTGTGGGTAGAAGCATGTGAATACAGGTTCTTGCGGATGGAGCTCAGAGAGCTGCTGGAGCGGCATGCAATTGTGAGTGCCAAGGACTGAACTCTGGAAAAGCAGCGTGTGTTCTTAACCACTAAGCCATCTCTCCAGTCCCACCCCCCTCTTTTAGACAAGAAGGTTTTGTTTCACACTATGGTAAGACCCAAACCAGGGCCCTGCACATGCTTTCAGTCCTCATGACCTGGCCTCCCATAGTGCTGCTGGGAGGGGGACGACAAGGGGGAGCCTGGAGCACCAGTTCAACAGTGAAGATCACCCCTGCAGAAAAACCAAGTTTGGTTCCTAACACCAACTTCAAGCAGCTCACCACCACTCCAGCTCTAAGGGGATCAGACACCTCTGTCCTGTAGGGAGACACTGTAGCCCCGCCTCCTAGTAGCCTGGACAGGTGTGCCGGGACACGCCCGTGGTCAGGAGAGGTCTAAAGGTGACTCGGGAAGGATTCTTAAGGGACAGCGGACACGTGGATAGGTGGATAGGCTCTCTCTCTTGCAAGCTCTGAGCACACTTTGGCTTGCGCTTGGCTGGTGTTTATCTGAATAAAGAAACCTCAGCCTTACGGACTGTGGATCGATCTCTTCACTGTCCTCCTCAGACATACCAAAGACACACATACATACACATAATTAAAAATAATAAAAATAAATCTTTAAGTTTCACAGATCATGGGATTACTATGAGGTTTTGCCAACATGGAAATTTTGAGTTTCTAATCACAATAATAAACCGTAAGTGCTGCAGAGTACTTGTTTGTTTTAGTTTTTCCAAGACAGGTTTTCTCTGTAATGCACTGGCTGTTGTGGAACTGAGCCTGCCTCTGCCTCCTGAGTGCTGGGATTAAAGACGTGCAATGTTTGCTTCATAACAAGTAGTTCCACTGGCAGATGTGAAATAGAGTTCTGTGTACCGAGGGTGAGAGGCATTTACTGTACAGGGAGTGCTCTGTGGGGCAAATTGCTCAAGTGGACAATCAGGGAGAGAGGTGCGGGAGAAGATTCCTAGGACAGTCTAAATACCAACCTTGAACTAAAACTCTGGATTCTCCCACATTCCTACTCAAGCAAGACTCGGGAGAAACCTGACTCCCATGATTCTCACGCCAGCCTTAGTCTTAACACAAATATTGCCATTCCTACCAAGCATGATAGAAACTCTTTATCAATGGAAACCTTTTACTAAATTGCCTGATTTAAAAAAAAAAAAAAAAAAAAGAGTCCCAGTAGAGGGCACAGAAACCCTGGATACAGAATTCATTTAAAAACAAGCAGCAAAGGGAAGGTTCTCAGATATCCCTACAATGCTACAATGCTGTCCTGTCAACTGAGTGCTCAATTCATTCCACAAATGCTGCCAAGGCAATGATGTGCTGGCTACATTTACTGATGATGATAAAATCTCTGCTCAGCTGTCTAGGAATATCAAGAAATCTTTAAATCTGTGCTACTTGGCATGGGGTGTCTGATTGGCAGTTACCAATTCTCCAAGGTGCATCTTCCAACCATATGGGAACTCTGTGGCACAGCTCGGCTCGAATGCTAGCTAGCATGTAGCCTATATCTTGATGGGCATTCCATTCACAAGCACCTGCAGACTCACCAGGGAATGCCTGAAGCTCTCAGCTAGAGAATGGGACCAAATGAGAGGCTGACACCACCACGCAAGCGACGGGCAGCAGATAACCTGGGGAGATACCAGGGGTATGTATGGCCACCCATGTTCAGTATTGGTCATCACCAGACTCGAGATCTTCCAGTAGTTACTGAATTCAGTTCAGTGAATAATACATGGCTAAACAGTGTCCAGGGAGTCAGCAAAGTGGAGTGGGAAATCAACGTGACATCAAGTGTAGGCCATGTGATGTGGCAGAAGGGGACTAGCATACTATTCTGAAATCATGGCAGTAATTACTTACACATTTTCAACAGAATTCTCTCCAAGTGCCAAGAACCATTTAGTGATAGGTCTCTCAGGTTCTCTACCTACTGCTGATAGAAAAATGCCTCCAACTGCCTGGGAACTAAGCAAGACCCTAGGCACACTAGGAAAGGGTCACTCTCAGTGCTTTCTCTTCGGGCCACCCTGATGCTGCCACAGAACCCAAGTCTGCATCTCTACAGCCCTCATCCCATCAGCTCCGGGTTAACTGCACAGTTCCTGACACTGTTCTCAGGCCAAGTTCTCAGCCTTTCTGTTCTTAGTGGGGAAAACATCAATACCTATCTGCCTCAGTTTCTGTGAGGCATCTTAGGAATTGCCAGCTTGTTCAACAATGAACACCTAGAGGACACCCAGTGAAGCATGAATAAGATAGCATTTCTGTTATCCAACTGAAAACCAACCACAGTAGAATGTCTTCTATTTTTTTGGTTTTTCGAGATAGTTTCTCTGTATAGCCCTGGCTATCCTGGAACTTGCTCTATAGACCAGGCTGGCTTCAAACTCAGAGATCCACCTGCCTCTGCTCTGAATACTGGGATTAAAGGGGTGTGTCACCACTGCCTGACAACAGACCAAAAAGCCCTGGGAGAACAGAGTTAACCTCTGCCTGGCACAGCTCTTAACCTCTACTTCTCTGAACAAAACGGATGATCA